TCTTTCCCAGGATTACTGGGAATGAGGTAGCTGTTAATTAGAAATAATGTAATTTTTTAAAAATAAAAATTAAACTAGGAAGACAACTAGAATAAACCAAAGAAGAATTTAAAAACACCAAATCACCTGAAATCCATAGATGATAATTACTGCCATATAATTCTTCACCAATACATTATACTGTTAATTTTTGTTCAGAAACCCAGTTTTTTGATGCAAATATTCTTTCATGGCAGTATAACGATCTAGACTCTTCTGAAAGTGTTGGAATACAGTGAAACCTCCCAACCCTCTAGTCTGTTTTGAGTAGAAATCCACCTTGTTTGGGTGGGTTTGTGCTGTCCTTCCTGCTGGTTGTCAGGGGCCAGGTTCCCAGCTGGTGAGAGCAAGGAGGGCAGGCAGACCTACCTGCTCCAGCGCCCCACTTCCCCTCCAGGTGCTGCTCCCCCAGCCCAGCCCAGCCTGCCTTGTGGGGTGGGGGTGGGGAGAGTGAGTGTGTGTGGATAAGTGTATGAAATGCTCTTGGAATCTGACTGAAATTACTCTTCCATATTCTGCGGAGTATCTAGTACAGGAATATTACAAATAGTACTACTAAAGAGTAGCACTGAATTTTGAAATGAACACAAGGAGTTGTACCATTTATAGAATTATATTAACATTTTAACATTCTATTTCTAAAGAGCAGCAAGAACTTGTGTTTTCTTGTCCTCCCAGCATTGGTGGGGAGTTGGTAACAAGTTTTATTTTTCCATTTTAAAGATGAGAAAGATGAAGCTCGGGCTGGTTAAATGACTTGCTCAGCGTCGCATGGTGAGTCAGCGCGGGCGGGGCTCAGGTCCCCGCGGTCTGGGGCTTCCAATCTGCCAGGACCCAGGATGCGTTGCTGCTTCGGAAATCCTTTTTCTAGTTAATTTTATTTTGGATTATCAACTGCATGTTTAAAATGTGCTATAAACTTTAAAAGTCAGTGTTTCTTAACATTTCTGAAATGTCTAAAATGTTAGTGTTCTTCAGAGAAAGTCCTTTCTGATTTCAGAGAGAACTTTATAGTTTAGTTCTATGCAAGAGGATTTCTGATAAAGTTAAATCTCTTTAATGAATGCACTCTTCCTGTGCATAGCAGTCTTTCTTTTGGTCACTGTCGATGGTTTTTGTTTCAGAGTCTCCTTATGTACAGTAACTTGAAAACCTTTTTATTGTAAGTATCAAGGAGATTTCTAGCACGGTGCCAGTCCGTGCTCTAAAAATGTTGAATTTTATTTTATTGAGGATTAGGAGTGATTTTAGTCTAGATTATGTAAAATGTAACATAAGGTCCAGTACCTGTTTCATACGGGGCTGACAGGAGCAGACAGAAGGTAATTCCAAATACTAAAGCGGTAAAAATGCTGCTTAGATTTTGTGACCTAGAAATACTGTAAGCCAAGCTGTGCTGCGTGGAAACTGGCTCTTTTCTCATGAGTTTCACCTGGGCTTTCTCTCTCCGTTTCTGTCTAACAGGCCTAGCTGCCCTGTGTGACACTCACACTGTCTCCTGCATGATGGGCGGCATCTCCTCCAGCTTTTCTTCTCTCTCCAGTGCTGACTGCTGTGTTTAGCAATCCCCTAGGATTCTTGTCAGAGCTACACCTCTCTGTGACTGGCCATTCCTTTGGTGCTGCTGTCCTTTTGGGGGGTTCCTTATCTCTGTATACATGTAGCTTTGCCAGATATGTACTTAGTAATATAAACTGTGTTAATAAAACCATTTACTGTGTAATACATGAGTTTAAAAACTAAGAGCAATTAGCTGTTCACTTTGATAAGAGGTAGTTAGTAGTATCTCCCAGGTGTTACTGCAGTGGCATGATGGTGACTGTGACACTACCTAGGCTGTCAGAGTAGGGCATGTGCTGCTCCTGTCGTGTTTGGAGACCTGGTGGGACCACCCTGGGCTCTGGGCGCTCCCCTTAGGATCGTGCTCAAGTAGAATTTGCTGTGTAGTCTTTGTGTGAAGTTTTGGCAATTCTGCTTTTCTCTACTAATCTTTAAGTGTTCAGTGATTTGTGTATTTGTGTCTTTCTAACTTCTAATAAACTCACTCCAACTGACCTGTGTCTTGGTGTCTGTCTGCTTGGTAGACCTTCTCATTCTTTCCATGGAATGCAGCATTGCCGTAGCTTCTAGAAGTGGTGGGGCTACTGTTAATCTTACTAAATGGTTCATTCTGAGAATAAAAGTTGTTCTGTACACATTTTTTTCACTCTGTGTATTTGATTTTCATATCCAGATGCTGCCAAGTGTTTCACTTATTAATGTCTGAGTCAGTTATACGAAAGCTGGGCACTCTTTCACTTGCTTCCTACAAGGCATCTAAGGATTTTTAGTTATTTGTATAGAATGAACGTATTGTTTAACTTTCCCACTACATTTATAATCAACACTTAATAAAACTGTCCTATAAAACTTAATGAAGAAACAGTATATCTATAGCATGTAGATGAAATTGTTAAAAGGAAGTTGCCTATGTCAAACCTAAATGTTTTAGGTCCTGTACTGTTTCATGGACCAGATGCTTCCATATTTATTAAACGTGGAGTTTGATTTTGGTGATCTTGCTAGAAGCTGCCTTAATTTCCTTGAGTCTTTCTGTGTATCTTTTGTTTCAAAACAGTAATATAATTAATTTTCCTTTGGGGATTTTACTACTTTTGTTTGAATGAGCTTTTCCATGTTCAAAGGTTTTCATATTCATTGGATTATCTTTCATGAAATTTAAAATGGATAGATTTCTATTTAAAGTGTATTTACATACATGGCAAATTGATAATTTCTGTAGGAATCACATTACCAGCAAGTCACAGACCAGCAGGTCAGCCACGACGTGAATTCTTGTCTTCATTTCGCTTTGTCTCTTGCGGGTCGGGAGGGAGAACCACGTGGCGCTTCACATCTGTTCACGTTTTTTTCAGGACGGCACTGGATCTTTAAAACGCAGTGGTTCCTTTAGCAAACTCCGGGCTTCCATTAGACGCAGCAGCGAGAAGCTGGTTAGGAAGCTGAAGGGAGGAGGCTCACGAGACAGTGAGCCAAAGGACCCTGGGTAACTATCGCCGCCCCCGCCCACCCGCCCACCCTTCTCGCCCGTAGACCTCAGAGCTGCGTTCCCGCCTGCTTCCCACAAGGTAGCAGTGCAGAGGGTTAGTAGCTGCAGTCAGACTTTTGCCCAGGTTAGGTTGAGAAAAAATTGTGAAATTTCCAGTTTAGAGGCTAAAAGAGCTGAAGCCTTTGAAAGAAATTTATGGAATTCTTTGATTTTGTTACATGTTCAAAGAAAGCCTTAGCAGTGGAAAGTAGGAATTTAATATTAAAATATTGAGTATATTAACTTGTTTTCTCTAAGTATGCATTATTCATTTTTAAAACCAGCATTAGCTTAAATCCTTTAAAGTTAGTTTTAATCTTTTAAAATCAAATGCCAGCTATGACTATATTAAATCTCATCATACAGGTATTACTATAGGAAGAAAAATGGTTTAAATAGAAGGATGACAATTTCAAGACTTTTGTTATAATGAGTTTCTTTAGGAGATTTAAAAAACCTTAGGTTTTGCATGTGTTTAGAAAAGGGTCTCTTCAGTCATGAGTTTTTAGGGTCTTTTGGACAATAACTTTTAAGTTATCAAAGGAATTTGATTCTAAGATATTCCTTGCTTTTTATAAGGTTCGTCAGAGGAAGGGTTCTTTGTCCTTCCCTGTTAGTGTTAACAAATTGCCCTGGTTTCTGGGTTATTTCTGGTGTAAATGGCTTCCTGTTTTTGGATGCGTTTCTCAGAGAAGCACTGTATTGTACTGTCAGCTGTTCGTGAAACTCAACCTCCCTAAAATGGTACCTATTTTGTAAAGGTTGATTCTTATCTTAGTATGACTCTGTTTTAAAGTATTTCACTTTAAGTTCTGTAAAAATTCTCATGTCTCAGGACTGAGATGGAGTTCCTTTGGGTAACGTATGGGAGTATAAAGGTAGGTGCTTTTACAGTTGTGCGCTTTGCTGTCAGGCATGTCCCGTCTCATTCCTCTTGTCATCAGTTGCGGCCTGACTCCCGAGACCCCTGGGGTCGCTCAGCCCGGCTCTCTGCCCCGCGCCTCACCTGCACCTGTGGGGAGAGGGGCTGGGCTTGCCCTTAGCTCTGCCCCCAGCTCTGCCCCCACGTCTCTGCTGGCGAGGGACTTGCTTCCCGATGGCTTTGGAGGCAAGAGGAGCAGCTGGATGTTATACGCTGCCATTGCCCTCTTCTCAGAAATGCCTACAATCTGCAGAGGGGGTTTCCCGCGCTCCGCCCACATCCTGTGTGAAATCGCCGGAGGCTGCAGTGTTGGAAGCCGTGCAGTGTTGGAAGCCGTGTCGGTCCTGCCTGGGAGGAGGCATGTGCGCGCTGCGCTGCCTCAGGGAAGTGGGTCCTAAAGTGCCCTTGTTTGGTTTCCAGAGCTAAAGTGATAGGGTGCTCTCTGGCCTCTCACAGCGTGGGGAGGGGCTGAGCAGATCGCTGGGCCCGCTGAGTTCCTGTCCTGACCCTTCGGCGTGTCTCATGCGTCAAGACGCGCTCTGTGCCGTGCAGGCCGTCGGCCCGTACCGCCAGGGCAGACGCACTGTGGCCTGGGGTTCTGGATGTCTCGGAGCTCGTTAGGGCAGCGTCCAGCTCTGGCACCGAGTCCTGGACGCGGCAGAGCTCACAGTTTCCCTTTCACGTCTTTCTGTCTTTCCCGTGACGCCGCGTGTGTGGGCGCTCCCCAGTACGGATGTTCACGGCGCTAAGAACGCTTTGCCAGCCTGACCTGATGAAAAGTAGACCCACACACTTGCATATCTTAACAGTTTTCCCATGTGATGTTATCTGGGTTGATATGTTACTAAACTTTTTGAAAAACTAAATAATTTAGAAAGTTTATCCCATCGAATGCATGAAACAAAGTAATCCTTCCAGGTAAGAGCAGCAATCTTTATTAACTAGGCCAGTGGCTCTCAAACTGGAGCATGCCTCAGCGTCTCCTGGAGGGTTCCTAAAACAGACCCCAAGGCCCACCCCTGAGTTTCTGATGCAGTGGGGCTGGGGGGGTGGGGTGTGAGGTGGGGGGGCGGGGCGAATTTGCCTTTCTAGCAAGTTCCTGGGTAGCACCAGCGCTGCTGGGTGGGCCACGTTGTGAGAATCACTGAAGTGGGTGCCCCGGGAGCAGGGTCTGCAGCCTGCAGTGGGCACAGCTCCAGGGAAGCACTGGACTGCTTGATGGTCTGGGCACCGCGGGCTTCAGTGAGAGTGTGGGTGCGATTCCGAAGAGTCACTGATGGGGCAAGTTGTCCTTTCACTTCACCTTGTAAAGAAAAGGAAGTTTGAGGACAAAGTTTGTGTACCTTTCTTAGGAAAAGGTAGCTGGCCAATTAAGTAACAGAATAATTAAATAGGGCAGAATATAATTCACTGGTGATTTGGTTTGATTTTATCCTTTGTTCTTTAGTGGTTCTGAATAGAGGAAAACCTGTCCAGAGCTCTAGCAACACTTGTGTGGGGTTCATTGGGATGTTTTTGTCTTGTCCTAGGTGGGAAGTTTGGGGAGTGAGTTCTGTAATACTTGGGGATGAGTCAATTAAGGTTTTGCTTTTAGTGTAGTTTGTTTAGTGAGAACTCAGTAAGTGCCTGCTGTTTGCCTGGCACCGTGCCTGTGGCGCTGGCGGCCATGCGTCCATCGCGTGGACCTTTGGTCCCTGCAGCTGGTGCACGCGCGCGTGCGCGTGTGTGTGTGTGTGTGTCTGGTTGTGCTCAGCCTTCACACCTGTGCTTCACTCTTGTAGCCATGCCCTCAGCTTGTAAATAATAGTGGTCACTGTTGATTTCATAGTAGTTCAAATTCAGAATTACTGATCCTATTATAAACATTTAAAAATAACCCTTCATATTGGTTCTTTTAGCTTTAAAAGAGAAGGTGGCTTTGTTTGAGGTCATCTGTGGTGGCAGTAAGCAATTACAGTAATTTTACGACTGTCTGTAAGTTTAGATTATAGGTAATTTGTAAGATATTAAGTATTTTAAAGGTGTTAAACGGGAGAAAAAAGTAAATATATATATATATATATATAAATCAGTATTTTTTTGTAAATGTAAAGCCATGAAATATGTTTTAAATTTTGGTTTCTGAGCAGAGAAATACTAACCTTAGAGTTTATTTTACTAATAAAAGATTATTTTTGCCTAGTTTTAATATAGAAAAATCTACAAAATACAGAATATATTTATGCATTTGATCTTAATAGTGAGCTTTGAGGGTCTCTCTCTTTTTAATATTTATTTATTTATTTATTTGGTTGCGCCGGGTCTTAGTTGTGGCCGGTGGGCTCCTTAGTTGCGGCATGCATGTGGGATCTAGTTCCCCGACCAGGGATGGAACCCGGGCCCCCTACATTGGGAGCGTGGAGTCTTACCCACTGTGCCACCAGGGAAGTCCCTTGAGGGTCTCTCTCTGACGCGATCACTTAGGGGAGAGGTTTACGGGAGTCGTTGAGGATCCCTTCCTGAAACGCATCTCAGGAGGCTCCTCAGGCTCCCATGCCGAAGTCAGCGGGTGGCATTGGCAGAGCCCCATGTCTCCTATAGGAGCCAGGTTTTAACAAGTGAAACTGCAGCAACACTGGCTTTATGGGGCTCAAAGATAAACTTTTTGCTGAGAAAGACGCAGAGGAACTTCGCTTTTTTCTGCTGGGTGCAGTAGAGTAGATCTGGGATGTA